TTAAAAGTTAATAAATAAACTGTTAAAAATATTTTTGAGTATATAATATAAAGTATTTTGATACTAGATCTAGAATATTTAAATTTTTGAAATATTCATTCTAGGTAAATTATTCTAAATATATTTTTTTATAAACTAGATTTTAATTTAATAATATCGACTTTAAAATTTAATAGGAAGTTTATTTGTATTAAACTTTAATAATAAATTGATATGTTACAGTAAAAAAATGATTCTCACGCCTTTGTTTGTTGTTTATACTTAGCTAGATATGGATAACTGTATCAGAGATTAGGTTAACCAATATGTAAATAAAGCAGTTTAAAAAATTATATAGTTCTTAAACTCATCAGTCATTGTCTTTTATAGAACTGGCAGCTAAATGGAAAAGTTAAGAGAGAGAAATAGACTTAATAAGTGAGAGAAAAGGACATCTATCATCTATGCGAAGCATTTCGTGATTCGCCAAGTGTCTCGCAGAACAGAAATTTTCATTAATAACAAAAAGGATCTGTACTTCAAATTTTTCGAAGTTTTTATCTGCCATTTCTTCGTAAAAGTCTATTGAGGATAAACTTAAATATTTCATGCAGCTGTAAATATCGATGGGGAAGAAAATAAGATTTATTTTTCTATAAGTAAGTATTAAACTATATTTCAGACAGTGTAATACATCATTTGAGTTTTTAAATATAGAAAGAGAAAGAGAATTTTTACTTATAGAAGTTTGTAGCAGATGGTTCCGATTTGAAATTACTTTAATGTACAAATATTAAATGAAAAGTTTGATAGAAAATTAATTGAATTCATACTAATCTAATCACACACTCTGATCATCGTTAAGATAACAAGATATAGTTTATAAAAATCTCGTTAAGGGTTTAAGATTACTCTTCATATTGAACATGTACAACAATTATCGATGAAACGCGATCTGCCCATCTGCATACTAATCACGGTTCGAGATATAAAAGATTCGATCTTTCAAAGGCTCCGAGCAATCTATTTTCTTATCCATGCAGATACATTAAAATGTGCAATGATTTATCATAGCTAACGATGCATCTAAGAGTCCTAGGTTGTTTGACAGGCAAACAGGGAACATAAAAGGTCCCTTCATAAATCTCGTCGGTAATAATTCGATATCTGTGAAAAATCATGTTAAGCGAGATCGAAATTGCTGCTACATCTAATTCCTAAATGAGAAAAAGTAATAACTGTTCAAATTAATTAGTTTTTTTCAATAAATTCCGTACTTCCAAGTTCGACACGAGGAGGAATTTAAGATTAACAAATTAGTTTTGTAGACTTCAAAAATGAATGAAGATTCGATAATTCTTTTAGTTTTTGACAGAACGAGTGATTAGACAAATTTGTATGGAGAAACGCTGAAAATAATGTACCGTTCCCAAGAAACGCATGCTGTAAATTTATTAGGAGTGGCAAACTGTTTAGCCTAACACAATTTACATTAAGGTATAACGATGTGTAAACGCCTAAATAATTATGAAAAGAATGGAATATGCCACTCGAAATCATTCATCGTTATGCGAAATCGGACGTTTCCGCATCTTGTTTCGAAATAATCAAATATGATAAAATTTAACTTGTATAATACGGAAGAAAACACTTTAATTGCCGAGTGAAACAAAGAGAAAATGATTTGGCACTTTCGCATATACCGTCACGATACATCATTGTTAATTGCTGGGACTTTGGACTCGCTAAACGCAGTGTAATTTTCATGGTGAAGAGGTGCCGGGTTAAAAATAATGAGAGGTACACACGCTCATTGCACATAACGTGTAATCAATTGACGGGAAAAGTTTGCTAGAGCAACCAAGTCACGCGATTGGATTACGAAAGCGTGTTCATACCTTTATCTTTTGGTAACTTGTTCAATGTTCATTTGCACGCCAGACTAGTTTCGAACCTTTTGATAAAATAAATGGCTTGTTAGCCTGTTAAAGAGAAGAACTCCTTCCAGAAAACACGATTTTTTTCCTCTCTCTCTCTCTCTCTCTCTCACTTAATTTATTTCTATCTAAAATTATGTTTCAAGCAATTAAGAATAATTTTTATTCTTATTCCAACAGGCCTGTTGCCTGGGAATATTCAGTTTCACGAACTTACTATTTTAACTTCTCTTTTATAAACAGAATTTTTTAAATATAATTTTTTTCATAGGTGAATACTGTATTAACTTGTAAGCTACGAACAGAAATTTGTATCATGCCTATAATTAATGAATTACTAATTAATAAACTCTTCTTAATAAATTAATTTATTTAATTTGGTATGGTAGAATAATTGCTATTTTAATTTCACTTACGTAACGTATTTGAATAATCAGTTCACTCGTAATTAATTAATTTAAGAGATAAAAGAATTTTTTCTATTGTTTAACAGTCATTAAGTAAAAAACAAAAGCAGCTATACATTTTTATACCAACCAAAAATTATAGACTATCTTTGTCAGAAGAAATTTAATGAATATCAAAGATTTATGATACTTGTTAGACTATAATAAATGTAATTATAGAATATAAATTATAGAAATGGATTTATTCTATACATTATTTTGTTTCTGTTTTCATACAATCTATACTTAGACCTACGTTATAATTTAGATAATTCTGTGAAAATATAGTTAGGAGACATTACAGTTTCTTAATGGCGACTACATATCGCATTATCTATGAATTTAATGATAGAAAGTTGAAATAATGTTTAAACTCTCATAATCAAATAATAATAGACGATTTTTTTAATCTCTTAATGGTCTTTTATGAAATTTTCGCCGTTTTTAACACTGTTAATGCAAAATAATTGGTAAATGGTCGTAAGAAACTAGTTTTCTCTTTATAAAATATAGAGCTGATTACGAATTGATTGGTTTTCAAATAAGAACATTTGCGGATAAGCTAATATGTATTTTTTATTTATTAGTATGCGTTTTATATTTCAAATCATTAAATAAATATACCAATTTAAAACTTTATTAATAATGGTTATACTCATGAATTATGGCTCCTTTTTGATAAATGAGAATTTGCAAGTAAAAGAATAATATGATATATTTCGTAATCGAAATAATAATTTAATCAGTTTTAAATATCTTGAATATAAATATTTTTTTGAAATAACTTATAGGCTTGTAATTGAATTAACTGCTTTCATAATCAGTGTACCGAACGAAACTCCCGAAAGATTTACAATTGAATTTGAATACGGACCTTACGAAGGTCATTTGGGACGAGAGGTATTTAGACAACATCAAAACAAATATTGTTTTTGGTTTATGAGATCGATAACATGACGTATTATCGTCGTATTTTGTCCAGAAATCGCAACTGGTCACCAAATGTCAATAACTGTTTGCTCAACAGTTTCACATGAAGTTAAACACAAAATTACTTTTATAAATATATTTCATACTTTCTATTTAATTCAATTTTTTGAAAAATATAAAAAAGATATTTTATTTCTAAATTCTTTCTCTTTTCAAAGTATTCCCAATTATCAAAAGCAACTAGTTTCGAAAAGAATTTGTTCCAATAACATTTCTCGCTTGGTATTTTCTGGAGAATTCGATGCTTGGATGCTAGAGTGATTTTGAATGTCTAGATCTTTCTGAAGAGTTTAAATCTTCCTAACATTTTTTTAAAAATAAAAATGGAAAATATTATAGCACGCATCAATTCTCTTTTGCTTTTTATTCCTTAAAAAAACACTTTTAGAAGGGTATAAACTGTTTTAGATGATTATTTTACTCAAATTTATATCTAATTTATCCTAATTTGATTGACATAAATTGCACTCGCTATATACTAGCCTCAGTGAAAATTCGTCCGAAACTGTCAGGTTCTTCCACTTTCTATCTCCGTTTTCGACATATCAGAAATTTCTCGCATAAGATTTTAACAATTTCAATATAATTTTTTTCGTTTTCAAGCAAACAATATTTTTATTTCTTTATTTTAAAAGTTATATTTTGAATTTTAATATGATTTTTAAAATTTTATGAAGTTATGATTTAAAATTCACAACCTTATCAAATATTTTCAGCTCCTGTTTTAAATAATAATAAAATCATAAAGTTCGGATATGAATCCATCTTTGTTTGCCATATTTCCTGAAATTAATTTTAAATAATGAAAAGCCTGTAACACTATAAAATATTTAGAAATTTTTAAAGTTAAATAAGACANATTAAACTAAATATTTATCGCGAAAATAGATTGTACAGAAATTTAAATTCACCGTTTCACGAAACTATTTAAGATTTTAAAAGGCCAATAAACAATATTGAAAATTTTACTGTTGTCAAATGTAATTTTCAAAGATTGATCGTTTTAATAGGATTAGTTAAGCAAGATTTGTTAGCTACAAACTAATGTTGCGGATGAGAGAATACGATTTTCCAATATAAACTCATTTAAATGTTACTTACAGTTTTAACTCAAAAATATTTGAATGTATAATTTAGTAATTTTTTTCTTTGTTATATGAAATTCAAAGATTTCTTAAGCATTTTTTAATCTACTCTTAACTATTGAAAGTAACAAAATAATTTCATTAAGAAAATTTATCAAACGATTTTATTATTATGCAATTTAATAAATATTCGTTCTATTCATCCATTTTTAAATATTTGTTCATAAACTATATAAACATTGAATTTTTAACACCTAATGTTATAAGAAAGTATGCAAAACAATCATTTTATAATTCAAAAATAAATAAAATGAATCGACCACTTTTTCATCTATGATCATCTTTTAACTACCATTAATAACATTTTAGAAACATATTTTTAAATGCCCGAAGAAAAATTTATTTTTCTTCTGAGATTAAATATTTTTTTCCTATCTTATTAAATGAATAAATATATGAAGCAATTTATTCATCTTGCTGTTACTTTTCAGATGTGTATATATATCAGCTGTAATTTTAAAACGGTATCCCTTAATATAGGATATCAGATATGGTTATAAATGTTATCTTTCGAATGAAAATAATAATAATAATAGAAAATTTCCCGATTGCCATTTTAGCCGACGACCCATCTGAAACGGGAGGAAAGAGAAAATACATATTTCCGGACTATCTCTTATAGACAGGGGTGGTCCGACAGATCCGATATCAGGCTGAGAGCGTTGTTCGAAGATTGAAGAGATAAATAAGGTGCTTACCAGTGTAATTCGACTTGATCCAAACGAACAGGAACCGCCAACGTGTGACGAAAGTCAGGATGTGTCAGATTGCTTCGTTTGAGCGAGTGACATTAAGTAAACAAACGTCTTGGTAGGTAAAATGACAGTGTTTTTATATCCGTTATCAATGATAGAATCCATCCCAAATTCACATTTTGCTATACAAACATTCTTTAACATCACCACTTAAGTTTTATTCGCTTCATTTATAGATTTTCTTGATTTATGTAGTATGGATTTAATTTATTTTTTTCCTTTCAATACGAACTTTTCCAACTTTTATAAACAAAGTTGAACTCAATCTAAGCACCAAAAACTGTTGTTATTCTATTCGATAACTCCTATCTACTTATTATGACTTACCTGCTTAATTATTGAACAGAAATGTAGATATGTTGTGGTTAATGTAATCAGTTATAATTGGATATTCAGAGAAATTAAGAAACAAATTCAATCGATGCAATTAAGTATTTGAAGTGATAAAGGATTATTTAATAATGCACTGAGTATGATATTTAAAAGATAATTGAAATCGTGATTGTTAATTCTGGTTGATACTAAAAGGATTCTTTACTTTTGATTAATAAATCAAACTAATATCAATAATTTCAGCTTTATGCAAATATTATCAATTGAATAAAGTTTATAAAATTATTTTTATTCCCAAATAAAATTATGTTTATAAACATTTATAATATATCTATTCATCCCAATGTATTAAGAAATGGAAATCTTTCAAATTATGTAAATTTAAAATTTTATTGTGTAATGTTTCGATGTAAAAGTTAAGATCTACGTCTATATATTTATTCAATTTTTTTTAAAATATATTCTGAAATTGTTTGTTTGATTAGAGATATTTTATTTTTTATTATTATTATTTTTTTAACTATTTTCTTTTCAGGTTTTTTCATTTAATAACATTTTAGAATAGATACGATAGCCTCAAGCTCTCTGGACTCAATTAAAATAAGTAAATAAAATCTTTCATTATATTTATATATTTTTACGTAAGTAATAAAAAAAACATACGTTTTTATTATAACGTCAAGAAAAAAGATTAAGTTTATATATATCTTAAGTTTAAACATTAATTGAATAATTTATATATAGATAATTTCGCTACTTTTTACAGTTTTGATTAAGAAACCAAAGATAAAATATGATAAATTCTTTATTTTTAATAAACTAAAACTTGTCAAATTTGAAGAAATATCCGCTCGTAGACATAAAACAAATCCAGAAACAAATACATTCCCAGCTTGCAGAGCACAAGATATGTATTCAATATGTTATCCGATGCATACAAACTCAGTCTCATATTTATTGAAGTGCAGCACTCGGCCATTAGTTTCGAAGAATCTCAGACAGGTGCGCTGTCGTCGTATTTGTCGTTCATCAACTAAATGTGTTTCCAATGGAGAATAGACCGTCCACATGCAAAAGTATATATAGACTTGTACAAGCCATACGCAGAGAACGTGGTTTTGCATATAAAAAACTAAAAGGAAAAAAAAAACTTAGATATAAGATATATGTTTGTTTCCCTCTTTAAACAATGTGATGGATAATATGAAATTCAGAAATGTAGTGATTTAACTCCATAAATAAGATTGATTCATTCATAATAACAAAAATGGACTAAGCTTCTTTAGATCGTTAGGATAGAGTTGTTCTGTTATTGATGAAAAATTTCTTTTTTCTTTTGCGAAATATTTTAAAATTTACTTATCTTCTGGATATAGCCTAATTAATTATGTTCTTTTTAATAATATAAGCAGTTTTACCGGAATGGGAACTTAAGTAGAGATGAAGTGTAAGAATAAACAATTTAACATTAATGCAGCTGTTACACGCCAAGTGCCATAATACTTCTGTTATAGTATATTTAATAATTCCACATCAGCGAGTAACTAAGAATAAATTGCATAGACATAACTCGCAATTAACTAGTTTAATTTCCGATAAAGTGTAAAACAAAGGTTGTGCTTTAAGAATACATCATTAAACCATTGGATAGTAATAAGAAAAGTACTTTATAACTTAAAATTAAGTGTTTGTTTACTTCTCAAATAAATTTTTTCTCTCGTTCTATTCCAGTGAATTTCTTTCGTAAGGAAGATTACTTTTTCTAGTTTGAAAATAAATAAAAAAGTACTCAAGAACACCAGAAATCACTTTAATTTAATAAAATAATGTGCGGAATAAAAAGTACAACATTACAAGTCTAACCGACACAATTCCAAACAGCGGAACAAAAAATTTGAACATGTTGTTTAACGAAGTGCCATTAGATGTTTGCCGATATTCACTTTACATCCACACTGGGACGGTCTATTTATTCGACTAAAATGCTCGAACTTATCTATCGTTTTACACGGAAGTTGGACAAATGCACTTCCGCCATGTCAGATAATAGGGGTTCACTTTTGTCTTCCTATCTATTTTTTTATTTTATTTTCTTTAATTCTCAACTTAAGGCGACTGAACCTCGGGGAGTTAAATGATTGAGAGCCAACGAGATTTATAGTTTTTAATACTTTTTTTCCCCATTTTGTGGACAGAAAAACTCCGAAAATTTCCCGAGAGAAGAGATTAAATACAGGAAATGTCTTAGAAATTGAAAAACGTATTGTGAAAGAGCGAAAGATAAAGATGTGCTGTTAAAACGTTCCTTTTTTTTTAAGTGTTTGTAACTGCGAGTGACGCGTGAATGTCAAAGATAGTACTTTTTTTCCGAACGCATTCCATGTTACATACGCAGTATTTCAGTCTGTTATTTACATCACTTTTTAAATTAACCATTTATTAATTACAACTGAAGTGTAGTTAAAACAAAATAAATCATCTCGAGTCGTGTGCAGGGTAGGCGAGAGCTTAATAGGCCCGGGAACAAAAGGACCCTTTTTGCCATTTTTCTGAACAAATGAAATACGCGAAACGTTTGTTTTATTAATAAAAGTAGTCATAAAGATTTTATTTTTACTAATTTATAAGGATAGAAACCACCACTGGCCCCTAGTTTCTCCGGGCCCGAGGAAAAACTCCCAGTTCCCTCCTCGACGTCCTTGGTTATTAGTAGTAAGAGTTGGCTTATATTTAATGTAAATTTTAATGTAATGTAAAAAAAGTGTAACAAATCTTAAAACATTTCTGAACATTAAAACAGTAAAAGTAACAATGAATATTAATACCATACTGTTTTATTTCGTAATAAAGTTAGGTTATCACCGTTACAGTTATATTCATTACATAATTTCAAATTTACAAAATAATAATATGAAAAATATTAAAGACGTGACGCAAGATAAAAACAAAGAGATGTATATTAATGATGAGGAGAGAGAGGAAGGCAGAAATTACGAAGAACATACAATCAAGTTAGACAATGATAATATAGAAATTATTTCAGATATAAACGAGAATAATGGATTAAAGCGGAATGAAGATAAATCAAATTTAGATTCAAATGTTGTTGTTGTACATGTAAATAAATGTTTACGATGCGGATTATTAGAAGAAAAAAATCCGAAAAAAACTTCAACAAATTTCGAAACCGATTCTACTGAAAAGCTTGGAATAACAAGTATAGAAGAATTAGATTTTAGACAATTAATTAAGGAGTTAAATTTAAATAATACCAAGTCATTATCATCTGCTAAAGTAATTATTATCAACAACGGCTCTGCCAAAATTCAAAAAATAAAACTCGAACAGGGCACAGGAGATGAAATCAAAACTAAAGATTGTAGCGGAATTATAATTTCATCAAAACATTTTGATAAAAATGACGATTCTGATTTTACTTGTACTGAAAATAAAAGTTCTTTAATTAGTCTTGCTTCATGGACTGATTCTCAGAACGAATCAGAAAGTGATTCTATAATTTTAGAAGAATGGGAAAGAGATTCATCTGAGTTATCTGATCGAAATGACGATTTGGATGATATGGTTAGCAACGTCAATGTTTTGACGAACTAAAATGCCAACATGTAAACTTATTGATTTTCCTTCTTAATTTAGTGTGGAATAAGACTCTTTGGTTCTTTAGGAGACTGCGGAAAGATTCATCCAGGATCCAAATCAGAACAAGATATCAAACCTATGTTGAATGCGGCACTTGGAAATTCTAAAGAATCTAAAAATAGAAACGTGAAATCCGATATTGTATGCAGTATAAAATCCAAAGAAATTCAAAATAGCGAAGAAAACGAGTCAAGCGGATTTTCTTCACACAACTTCTCATCTAAAATAGAATTATGTTCTCAAAAAGAAGTATTTAACGACGAATTAAAAGCATTTATTCTGATAGAGATGATCTTACTTAAAGTAAATTATTTTTTTCTTGCAGATAAAAGCAATAGAATCACAAAACATTAATAATAAATTGAAATTCGTTTATAGAGAAATGTATCGACTTATGAAAGAAGTGAGTTAACTACGAAGAAAAATTTCTCAATTGAATTTGATTTATACTCCTTTATTTTATTATTTATTAGTTGAAAAAGAAGGACGAGGAATTAGCCAACGTAAACGAAGAACTTCGAAAATTTAAAATGAACGAGAAAAAAGTTACAACTTCTGATCATTCCGAATATCACAAAATGTGAATTCCACAAACAGTTTCTGTTTATGCATGTGTTATCTATTATACAAGTCATTTTCTATTTTTGGACATAAACGTTTAAATTTTTCATACATGAATTGAAAAGTGAATCGTGAAATTTAGAATTATACGTAATATAGAAATTATATATGATTTAGAAAATCATGAATAAAATCAAAAATTTTAAAGACTTTTTGAGATTTGCATGATGCTGCGAACACATTTCGCCATCTATGAGGAATCTATATTACTAATCTTTGTATTTTCTATCGTATTTATAACTTTGTTTAAAATTTAAAATATATAAAATAAAAACACTATTTTTTAAAAAATAAATACATAATTTAATTATAAGTTATTATTTAACACAATATTATCAAGAAATAATCCAAAATTTTTATTTTACAGAACAAAATGATTTACAAATATTTACAACATAAATTTATTTTAAGCAAATTTTACTTCACCAAGAAGCACAATTTTGTTTGTTTATTTTATTTTTAGACATAAATATTCAGGTAGTTTCACTTACTTTTTAAAACTTGCTTAACTGAAAACTGTAAGAAAAAATATAATAAATATCAATGGATACATTACAACATACTGTATAAAAGAATATATATGAAATATATTTCTCTAACAGTTCAGTTAGATAAATAGATATTTGTATTGAAAGTTTATAAATATAGATTTCAGACCAATTTAAGAAACATCTAGAATCAGAAGTCATGTCATGCATTAAATTTTGAACTATTGAAAACAAGTATAAATTATTAATTACACTATGATTTATTTAATGACAACATTTAAAAAAAAGTAAAATAGAATCATTTAGTGAGAAAATGTATATTCAAAGTTCTTACTTTTTATATTTTTGTATATTTTTTTACTTTTTCAAGTACAGTAGACTCTTGCTAATAGGATTCCTTGCACAGAGGGGTGCCAGATTACTGAAAGTGTATAGGCCTAAAGGCAATGAATTGTGCGACCTGTCACCCTTTGGTAATGATTCTTTGAGGCAGGTGGGCAAATAATGGGACATGCTGAAATGCAATACAATACACAGAAATGAAACTCGGGAAAACAGGATCTGTGACATGGATAACGTTTTTGTGGAAACAAGTGTACAGGTGATCACACTGGAGAATATGCTAGATTATTTAGGACCAGATTAGCAAGTCTATTATACTGTATTTTGATTTTATCAACTGAGATCTATCTTATCTATTTTCAATAATGTTAAAATTTCATTATCTAACAGTAACAGGTGTTACACAGTCAAACAACAAATAGCTAGTAGAACATATGAGAATGATATTCAATGCATTTATGTATGGTTGACTTCTAAGATATCATATGAATCTTCAGTTGTACTTGGAAAACGTCAGTATTACTCATAGTAGGTAACACTAATGAGAATGTCAAAAATGAGAATTTCATTATTTATTCCATTTAATTTTGATTGTAATTAAATATTTTTAATATAATTTTCAATAAATGATATGTATACAGTGAAAATAAACTGTTATTACAAATAATGAGTATCTATCAAAGCAAAACAATGTATAAACTGCATGTTGAAACATATCTTTAGATAAAACAAATGTTTATTAAGTCATCATACAATATGCATTATTATATTTATTTTTAATTTAAAGTAACAAATTTGATTTTCATGGTATTAAAGGGGTGCTGTAGCACCATAAACATCTCCTAGATACATCTGAGCAAAGTACATAATCATTATTATTTATCCTACTAGAATTTTCACTATACAATTAGTGGAAATTCTAGTTTTATTGATTATAACATTAGAAAGACAAGTTAAAACAAATGAAAAAACTTCAAGTTTTTAGATGCATGTCATTTTTAATTGTTTTAATTTTATGTTTTAAATTTAAATTGTCATGTTCTTGTAAACAGTTAAATTTATTTATTTTTTCTGTTAATATTAAAAATGAATTAAAATTTTTGTTGTTCTATTCCATATTTTCACTGATGTACTTAGTGAAAAAGGCAAAAATGCTTTTATTTATATTTTTTAACTTTTTTCTCCACTTTCGTTATTCATTCTGTAATCAAATTTCTCAAATTTATGACATATATAAGTTAAAGGTTTATTAATTAATATAAAGCAAACAACATTGGAAAGAATTACTGTACCATCATTAACAAACAGCTACTATAAACTGATGTAAGAAATGCAGAAATTAAAACTACTGTACTGAAAATGAATGCTTTAAATATTAAATGCTGGTTGCTTTAAGTTAACTGATAACAATTGCATGTTAGCAGCATGTGTCAAAGCTGACAGTATGAAAAGATAGCTTAAAAAATGCTTATTTAGCTGTAGAAAATGATAACTATATTTTAACCTATATGTTTTGGGACATACTAATTTTGATATCACTTTAATTACAATAAACAGATTTTACTGTATGTAAAATTATTATTATTATAAATATAGAGCCTTTCAATGTTATTCATTTTTAGAAATACCATAAACATAATTAACATATTCTAGACACACAATATTCATTAAATACTGTAATATTAATTTCAAAACTTATTGCACATCTTAATTTCTGCTATTTATAGATAATATAATTTTGTTCCTAATATAATTAATTATATATACAAAATAAGAAAGTGTAAGATATTCTTATATCAAAAAATTGCATATATGTGTATATATTGGGAAAAAACCATTTAACTGAGATAACTAATTGGTCTGTCTCTATTAAACTTTTATCAGGTGCCTAGTCTCAAATTATAAATAGTAGCATAGACACGGAAATCACAAACACATTCAATCAATGGTATTGCTAAATAAGTTTATACTATATAATATTCTTGATATGTTTTTGTTGCTATTTGCATAAATTGAGACTGGGCACCCAGAGAAAATTTAAAATGCACTTTATTGAAATTATTCAGACAGCTATTAATTGAACTAGTACTTCCACTTGAAAATATATACAAAATTAAAGACAAATGAAACATTTATATATCCCCAATGACATGACTTCTGAATTTCTTGGTGTGTTTCTTTCTCTTATATATCAATCAAACTTTAATATTTACATTCAATAAGCACCAGCTACAGTAGAGTCCCACTAGTCCAAATATGTTTCGATCAGCGGAAAGGAAATTTTCTCTAACAAGAGGACCACTTAGGAGCATTTTTCTTTCTCTTTCCTGAGTGAACCTGAATAAGGAAGGCTTCACCAATCTTGTCAAATGTTGAAGGCCTTGCTGTTTGTTAATTTTCAACTGATTTTTCTGAAGTAGAGGCACAAAACTGCTCGATCTTTGTGTGGTTTTTTCCCAGTTGGTTATTGCAGCTTTGCCCACTCCAAACTCTACCACCAATTTCTTTGCACTTTTACCCTTGTACAGCCTTTCCAAAATGTCCAGCTTATCTTTCAATGTACACACTGCATGTTTCTGTGGCCATTGTAGCAGCAAACTAAACTGAAATAATGTAGAGCAAAGAGTACATTCAACATCCACAATTAAGTGTGCTAACTCACACAGTAACATCAGTCAACTGATTGGAATCATGGACTGTGTATTAAAAACATGGTTTTCACAGTTAAAATAATTTTAAGGTAAACAATGAAGACAGGTTGCCATTTGAAAATTACAAAACTTGTTTTTGTTAACTGTTTGTGCTCTCTATTGAGTACAAGTCAGACGAAACAAAGTGTGGGGTGCTGACATCATTGACGGTGTTGGAACTATATAAACCAGACCTGCTTTACTTCTTGCTTCTGCATTATTTCAATTATTCAGCTAATCTGAAAATCTGTTAATCCAGACAGGACTCGGTCCCAATTAGTTTGGAGTAGTGGGACTCTACTGTATATTTTTAATATTTAGTTTCAGCAATATATTTTGAATATCATAGTCTAGTCGATTATGACTAAGATGATATATAACTAGCAAACTGTTAAATTTTATATTATTTCTAGTGTTTTAGAAAGATATTTTATATAGTAAAGTATATTACCTTTAACAATTTTATGAAATGCAAAATGCAGATATAATATATCTAACATGTTTAATGAAGCTATTACAAAACAAACAACTAGTCGCTGAGGATGACCGGACATATTAGCCAAAAGTACACAAACCTGAAACAATATGATAATTAAATTTTGAAGAAAAAATTAATTCTCTATACTATCAGAATTATTTTAATATAAGAATCACAGGCATCTCATAGAATTCCTGGGTATTTTATGGAATGTCTAGGCAAAGTGCAAAACAAACTTTTTGTTTTATGGATTGCCTAATACATCTAAGCATTCTATACAATGCCTGAAATTCATACTTTGCCAGTAACACATATACTAAATTTAATCTAAATGATTATTGTAATATAAATATAATTTGTCTAATAAATTTTGTATATTGCAACTTAAAAGCATAATTTGTTTCTTATATATTAGTTTAGTACAGTATGTACAAATATTATAATAAACTTATGCAGCACATGATTCCAAAAACTATTTGTGAAAAATTCTAAGTTCCAACCCCTTCTTTGCAGGCCTGGTCAAATCTATAGTGAACACAAAACAAGCCCTCTTAATGCCCTCAAGGCAGAAAGTTAAAAAATAAATAAAGAAAGAAATAATAATAATAAAACTCTTACATAATAATATTTTTATTTATTAAATGAATTTTATAGTAGTAATATATGCAGCCATTACAACCATGCAATATCTAGTTTATTTTTATTCAAATATTTCTATACTATGATTCAAATATTTAAATTTTGAATCCTATTGTAGATATATATGAATAAAACTTACAGTAGATATTACATAAGTTACTTGTAATAGCTGCATTTTTTGATAACGAATCTTGATTTCTTGAATTACAGTAATCCCTCCATTTATATGAATAATTGGTTCCATTAAAATAGTGCATAAATGAAAACCAAATAAATGGAGCCATGGAAAGCTGTTTAAAATAGGGATCTGTTCCATATTCTCAGTTACAGAATTCTACTCTAACAGAAGTGGAAGTTTTAACTAGTTTTTAAAAAATATATGTATATATAAGAGGTTACTAATAACAAAAACTTGTTCTGATGTAACTCATTTATTTCCATAAAGTTGGTTTATTTAAAATTTAAAAATGTTTCAACCATGTTAATGTGAATTTGCATGAATGAAGAAATTACTGTATCAATTACTGTATATTCAAGAAATCAAAATTCTTGAAAAACTAAAAATAATAAAAAATCTTAAAAATTAGAAATCCTAAATTAATAGGATTTCTTATAACTTTCAACATTATTTTCCATCTTATTATTAAAACAAAGAAATGTCATTTCATTAGTAGTCAAATATAGATACTTTAATGGCTAGCTTACTAATATTTAATAATTAAAGTATATGGTTGCTGAATCTAAATGGAAAAGCATTAATTAAGTTTTTAAGTTATGTTTTATCACATTATTGCATTGAAACAATAATGTGATAAATGAGAGTTATCTCTATAAATAGCCCTCCTGAAGTCTTGGAAACATGTTATAGTAAGAAGTTATAAACTTGGATTATTGGATGTTCTTCCTAAGAATAAAGAACAATATTGTACAATACCAATTTTTATGGTAGACATTATTAGATTCAAACCTATTAGAGATTATCCTGACAGTTTGGAGAAATGATCTGACACAGTGTAGTATTTATAAATGGAATGAAGTGTTCTGGAAAGCTGATCATCTATCAGCAATGTGGCATGATTGGCTAATCAAGCACAGTGATGATAAATGGCTGTGTTGAATGTATTTGAGGATTATGGATAATTCAGGATGACAATCAGCAAAAGTGATAGATATAAAATATAGTAGTTATGATTCTGCAATATGTCATCCATTATATATAATTTCAGAAAATATTCATAATTTAAGCAACACAGCAGTGTTTTAGTAGTTATGTGAATAAAAGAGTTAGTAAATGCTTATTGTAGCTGAATTTTAAAGAAATTATTAAAAAAAAAGAGAATAATGTTTTTTTATATAATACTAGCAGATGAGCCCAGCATTGTCCAGACAAAAAAATAACAACAAAGATTAAGATTATTTCATACTTCTAACACTTCCATTATATTATATTATAGTATTTGATGTATATAACTACAAAGGTTATCTTACATAAGGGTTTATCACAATAAGTGACCAATCTAACACATTTTAAAAATTCTTTAAATTGTGTCAATAGAGGAATGAAGAATTTTAAAGATGTGTTAGACTGATCACTTGGAGTGATAAGCCTTTATATAAGATAACCTTTGTGGTTATATAAATCAAATACTTTACTATAATATAACAAAGATTAAAACAGAAACAATATAAAAAGTTTGGTTATTTTGCAAATAACCAAAACTTTTTGTCAGATATAGTCTATCATTGTAACGTTTATAGCAATACTCAGATAGTACAAAATGGCACAATTTCATTGGTCAAATAGACACCAATTGAAAATATGATATCTTCAATTTCTTAAAATATATTTTTTCCTAATGTTAACTCTAAGAAGCTGTACCATCACAGCTGAATATCAAATGGTGATCTGCCAATGAATCAAAATTCACAAAAAACAAACCAAATATTTAAACTTGGCACACTCAAAAACCACTTAAAACATATTTTGTGCTCATCAGTAATCTTCTATTATCTTATTTTCCTATTCAAATGACACCATACTGCTGGTCTGATAGAAAGAAGGGACTGTTACGGAAGTAATTCCACCAAAAGTAATCACCTCCTCCTGAATGAGAGGATGATCTACTATTAATATTTGAAAAGTGATCCATGTTGGTTAGGTTGTGATGGCCCCCCATGTGACTGAAGTTGCTAACTTTCACATCCAAAAGACTTCATATGACTTGTTTAAATAAAAAAATTTTTTAAATTGTCAAAATAATTGCTTTTATGTGATAATAAAGTGTTTATATTTTTTCAACATACGGTAGAGCATCAATTATCCGAAACAATTTGGGCTCGGGTTGTTTCAATAACTGATTTTTCAGATAACTGATCATTTATGAAAAAATATATTAAACACTGAACTGTACTGTATATATTTTGTATCACATGTCTTACAAATACATATCTTACATAAAGTAGTAAAATGAATAATAAGTTTAACATGGCCAACGATTATTTACATTTAATAATAATACAATAAATATAAGTACAACTTTTAACAAAGAAAAATTCTTTGCTTCAGTCATTTCTTTCATTGTTCACACCATCAAGAACACCAGATGACACTTTTATCATTTTTGCATTTTTACTACGGAGGCAGTAGCCATCTGTAGTCCGTGAGTTTTTGTGATTTTTATGAACTGCTGATGGTATGAACAACAAAAGAAATGACTGAAGCAAAGAATTTTTCTTTGTTAAAAGTTGTACTTATATTTATTGTATTATTATTAAATAAAGTAGTACATTAAAGTAGGCCTAACAGTTTATGTTGGCAGGGAGGGGGAGAGTGCTGTGGCACCATAGCACTAGCGGAAATTTGGATTTGCCGACTGGAACACTTTCGGTTAATCAATGTTTCGGTTGATCAGTATTTGGATAATTGATGCTCTACTGTATTGTGGGAAATATATTCTTGTAAATATTGCATTAATAGAAAAATTATTGGGTTGCAATTTGAAAAAAAATGTAGACCTATAAATTCCAATTGTCATCTGCCTGTCCTTCCTTAATCTTGAGAAAGGAGTCAGATAGATGAAATTCGAAACCAGATGTGGAAAGCTTACAAGCAGAAGACCCATATTAACTATGTACAAACTTCCAGTTTGGACCAGAAGTTATGTTACTTCAATTTAAAATTTTCCAATTGATATTTTTGAGTGGGATGTATGACATTATCTAAGTTAGAAATATATTAATGTAAATGTCGGGTTTCATAGCAATTGGTTGAATGGCCTAGGAATGTATAGTGAACAAACAAATATCCTCATTTATATATAATAAAAGATTAATGATGAAACCTGGATTCATTATTATAAACCTGTTAACCACAGTAACAATAGAAGGAAACCATTTATCATAAAAAGTGAATCATTAATTTTTCACTGTATAGAGACAAATATTAGAAACTCATATCATGTTCTATATTGAAAATGATGAATATTGGAAAATGCCATGTTTTAGTTTAAGATGAATCTAACGATTTTCAGTAAATGACAAGAATTCCTCTCTCCATGAGCCATTTACTATATATGTGATTTATTCTAGGCCTATCATTAAAGACTTGTGTCTCTAAATCTTTGACAGACATCCTGTAAGCAAACAATTGATAACAGGAAAAAAAGATAATCAACTCTGTATATAATAAAAATTTTTTTCCACTATTTGAAAATCATCCAGAACTGCAGAAGTTTTGCAATGAATTATAAGATACTGATGAAAGTATGGATTTTCTTATTATTTATATTTCCCAATTGATAAATAAAGTTTGAAAATTGTTAGTCTGTAATTACTAAGATATGTAGTTTAAATTACCAGAATAAATGAGTGCCTGCAATTTTTATAAAAAATATTTATGTATACAATATATATTATTATTAATATAGATATTATTTATCTAACATATTTTAATTATAATATAAATGCATATTTATATGCAGTATATTAAAATGCCAATGACTAACTATATTCAAAATATCCTAGTCAGATATATTTGCAAACCCGAACCTTGAAAAGGATTCTCAGAACATATCAAAGAGATTATATAGTGAAACATAATTCCAAAAGTTTTCACAAGGAAATTGTGATATTATATTTGGCAGAGAAAGCTCAACCAAATAATATATATGATGTATTAAAATTACATTTCATTAACTAGATTAAGTATATTTGTACTCAATCTAGTTAATGAAATGTAATTTTAATAGAATGATATATTCTATTGCTGTCCATACATGTGTATAATATACAAAGAAAGTAGTAAAGGTAATAAAGTTTAATGGATCTGTCAATCAATACAATAAAGCCTAGACTGTTTTGATGGATGAGAAATACTGAATCAATGCATTGATATGTTCAGTAAGAGAATGCAATATATCAAGTGGAATATTATAACACATTGTATATTATGTCATACTTCATTCAAAGGTATTGTATTGTTTTATTAATTATTGGCAGAAATTATGGTATATAAACAATAACTTTCAGATGACTGTTTAACCAAAAGAACAATATCAAAGAGTAATCCAATTGATAATAAATTTTGCTTGTCATATTTTCCCTATTTGTGAATGAAATAAAATAAAATTCCAAAGTTTACTTCATTCATTAGATGCCAGTTCTGTCTCTCTCACAGAGCTATAAACTAGAAAATAATATCAATATACAACAAACCAAAGTCTGACTTGACAGCCAATCAAATATGTAAAAAGTTGGATTATAGTTAGAATTAAACTAATTTTAATTATTTAAAATAAGAAATTGGCTTAAAGTTAGGCTGTTGTATTTTATGTTAAGATTTATAAGTAATTAATTTCAATTTTGATTAAATAATTTAGAAAATTATAGAAAAAGATCAAACTAGAGCAGGATTTAAACTCATAGCTTAAGCTTACTGTGCATTACCAGTTATGCTAACCAGACCTCTATATGATTTTGGATTCTAAATCTATATTCTTCAATACAGATATTCTTGGTCAAAGTGGATCAATTAATTCTAACCCAAAAAACTAATCTTTATTTTTTGATGACTGGAAAATAGTATTAGCATGTTCTGAATGTAGGAATAATTTAATAGTAATAAAGATAAATCTGTGTTCCATTAAGTGTACTTATAATTGAAAATACAATATATGCTTTCAGAAATGAGCTAATTAATGAAAAATTAATTTCTATTTGTATGATATTTTTACTATGAGCAATAAAATGTGTCATAAAATTTGAATGTGTTGGTTTAGAAATAAAAGCTATTTTCTATTACTAATTAGAAATCTATTATAATATTTCCTGCTTTATCTGAGATTTTTAGTTTTTAGTCATTGTTCTAAAACAAAAGATCAAGTTTTAGACTATCCAAGACTAACCAAGTTTTCCTTCATGATGTACAGTAAAACTTTCCTAACTCAAAGCTCCAAGGGTCAGGAAAAAACTTTGAGTTACAGATGATTCAAGTTAGATAACATTAGAGTAAAAAATGCTTATTCTGAATAGATTTGTACTTTTACCTCTCATGCATTACATAAAGAATCTATGATTTTCTTTTGTTTTAAACACCCCACGTAATGCCTTTCAGCAAACTGTTCAATGCAACTAATTGAATTGAATAGTTTTGTGAGTACATCTTCTTGAGATAAAGCAAGAGCACCTCTCACTTTGGACTGGAACACTGTCTGAAAATCCAATAATTAGGATCACTTTGGAAAGAATAAATATTAAAATTTGAGTCGGGGAAGTTAAAAGTAACATAAATCAGTGTCAGGGAACCATGAAAACTTCAACTTGGAGAAAATATGAGAGTTAAGAAATTCAAGTTGAATCCTATTGAGACCTACTAAGCGCTACATTTTCTTCAAGTTAAAGAAATATTCAACTTAGAGAAGTTTTACTGTTAAATAAATATCCTAACCTCCTAAATATATTAGTTTTATTTTCCATTGTCTCTTGTCAAAATATCTGTAATTATCATCCATATTTGCTAAGAAAAATATAGTATACTGTAAAAACATTGAAACTATTTGGATGAAGAAATTTGTTTGTAAAAGAAATATTCCTATATTGTGCTAATTCTAATTTATTATGTATATTCTTAACATTTTTTAAGATTTCTCCCTCTCAATTTGTAGTATTTTATTTAAAACACCTAATATCTATTTAGTGTTGTTTCTATTCTATCCTGAAGATTTTGTTCCCATTGCATAATTCAACAGAAATTTACAACTTAATAAGAATAGCAATAATTATTGCTTTAAAATAATTTATTATTCTTCTTATTTGAGTTTTTCTAATAGTTCATTAATTTATTTTTAAATAATTTTGTGAAACTTCAGAAAAATTTTATAGTATAGTAAATGAACAAAAAGTACTGTTTTTAAGGTTACCAAAGAACTATTTAATAATTGAAATATTTAAATTATGTGACAGATAAATTTAAATAATGTGACAGATATCCTGTATTGAATGGGACTGTTCCATATTTGTCTCTCATTATCCTCACAGTTTTTGTATAGAACATTTCAGTGTCCTATAGGACACTGAAATGTCCTATATTCCAGGATTTCCTAGAGAAAATGTCCTGTATTTCAAAGAATCCCAGAAATTTTCTATTTAGAATAATTCTTTTTAAAAGTGTGCATATTTGTAAGTAAACAATTACTGCCATTCATTAGTTTTCATTGTTATATATAACTAAGTCATAAGTAAATTTATTGGCATCCAGACCCTTCAGGTTGATAGCATACTCCTTGCGACATAATCAGACAAGTGGTTGTCAGAAAGCAACAACAATAATAATAGCAATAATAATTAATAAAAATAAAATTCTGTACTTTTAGGAATTTGTTGTTTATGATTAAATTGTAGTCATGCTGCTATTTTTATCTATGTAAATGGTTTGGCAAAAAGGATGGTTGCAGATATGAAACAGGAGGGAGAAGATATAGCCTGGATACTGCCAATATGGGCCAAATGTCTCATAGTGGAATTACCAAAATCAGTTATATAACTTATAAAATCAAATATTAAAATTTTACAAATTTACAGTATATATCAATTATGGTATTCTTTTCCATCTACACTTTATATTATGAATTCTGCTTGTTAAGTCTACCAAATATTTAATTTTAAAAATGTTTTCAGCACTTTTTGAACTTTCTTCGTACAAACTATTTTACATTAATTATTCTAAGAATAGCATATAGAACATAACTTTTCCATCCATTAAACTGAAATCTAATTTGAAGTTAAGAACTTAAAACATAATAAATATTTTAGATGATGTATTTTGAAAAATATTTTTTTCATGAATTTATGCTTTGAGCATTTCTGCATTAATAATTCATAATGAATTAACAATTTCATTTAATATATTTTCTAACAATTATTAAATAAAAAAAATTGAATGTGACTTAATAATTCATAAATTTATGTATTTTGTTTCAACATATTCTGTAAATTTGAATTTATGTATTATTTATTTAAATTACAGCTAACTCCAATACAATGTGGAGGATACATTCTGTGTTATAGAAAATCATGTTATATAAGACATGCAAATTATTAAACAATTTAATGCAAATTTAAACTTGTCTCCAAGTTCCAGCACTGATTGCTTATTGCTAAGGAGATGTGCATTAGTTTCAAATATCATTTTATTGTGTGTAGATGTTAACTAACTTGTTTTAAAGAAGGTTTCTTTTAATAAAGAAAAAACAAAACAAAACACAAGTAACTGAACTTTAAAAAATATTATATATCATTGTTATAAATTATAAGAAGCATTACTGTTTTAGCCATGCCTACAGAAAGAAAAAAATGCCTAAGAGGTTGAGAAGAAAACATGTACCTGTAGACAACAAAATTAGAATTTTGTATGAACACTAGTCATAATTTTTTTGTTGCATTATATGAATTTGCATTATACAGAAGTTCATTGTATTATAATTTTTCATATTATAATGATATAAGAAATTTTATTAATAAGATGAACGTTTGGCATAGTTCAAAATATGAATCTTTCTTGTATGGATATACCATCAAATGCTCTTGTTTTTGGTACATATATAAAAAAATATCAGTATGTTCTGAGTCCAAAAAGTTTGTATTTTAAAATAATTTTATACAGTGAAACCTCCATTAATTAATGGGCACTTCTGAATAGTGGACACCTCTACTTAACAACATTTTTACAATCCCTAAATTCATCAAATAGGACATCTATTATATTTACCTCTAAATAGCAGAGAAACTTCTTATTCTATGGTGTCTGCTATTTTGAGGTTATACTGTACATTTATTCATATTTCCAAAATATTTTATGGTAGTTCTATTTGATCACACAACAAACATTTTTCAATGAACAAAATTCTTTTTCTAAAAATTTACATCAGAATTAATGAAACGTTATGAAATAATACAGAAAAAAATTAAACTGTACTTAAGAATTTCTATTACTGTTATTATTACAGTATTATAATTTATAAGAAGAAATTGCAATTTTTTTATATTAGTTAAAACTATAAAAATTTATATTAAAAATTAAATTCTTCAAAAATAAAGATAGTTTATTGATTTTTATTACACAATTAAAAATTATTATTATTAATTTTATGTAATATTTAATCTTATATATACATGTTTAATTAAAATTAGTTTATCAAAATATTTAAATTTTAGTTCATACTAACTTAAATATTTTTCATATTAATATTAATTCAAATAATTTAAATTAACTATTTTTTTAATTATAACAATGTTAACATATTGATAGTTAAGCAAATAATTAATAAAAATTTTAAAAAGTAAATCAGTTATTATCAATTTAGATAATTGTTATCATTTTGACAGATAAATGTAATTTATTTAAAGCTTTTTTGTTCATTCAATGTATGTACAATAAAGAAATTCAATAAAATTTAATTCTTAAAAATTAAATATTTTGAGATAACAAAATCTGCAAAATGTTTAAAGTGCAAATTTATAGAAATGTTCAATTATATAAATTAATATAAAAGCTTTGTTCTAATGTATTTTACATTATCATTTCAAAAATTTCTTACCACTCTAGCTGCTGATAATCCACCAATAACGCTCCATAAGATATAAAAAAATGTATGTGTATGTTCAGGGTGAAACACAGTACCAAGGAATAAAATAATACAATGACCAGATAGAGAATAACCCTAAATAAAAATTATCAGACATTAAAATATTATTCAAACTATAAGCTATTTAAATCTTTATCAATCTTACCAATAATGAAAGGTATTGAATGAAAGTCAATTTTGTATTGCAGACATAAGTTAACAGATATCCAAATGCTGCAGCTCCTAACCAATAACCAAAACTAACTCCAAATGCTGTACCCATCAATGTTCCTTCTTTCTGGAAACAAAAATCTTTTTATTAAAATACAATATTTAACAATTTTTATATCAATATTCAAAAACAGTAATTTAGAAATTAACAAACATGTTCAATAATATGGGTAGATCTTATTCAGTGTTAACCGTAAATACATTTTAAAATGTAACACTCCTGATAAAAAAAACTGACTTGTTCAGCAAACTCATCACTGGAGCAATTGAATACAGTAATACCTCGACTTACACTACCCCAACTTACGTGAACCCGGAGTTACACGATTTTCAAATCTCGTCGATTCATCTCTTGTTTGAGTGCCACGCAACTCTTGATTACTGACTCCCCCCACACTATTGTTCAGCTTACATGTTCGGACGTGTCGTGCGGAATCGACACATAGCTACAATTTATTTTGTGTTATTTATTTCTGTTTGTTATATCTACGGAGCCTTGAGAGACTCTATGTGGTGATTTCTTGTAACCGTAAACGAATCAAAAGATGAGATAAGATTAACGAGAACATTCATTAGCTTACATACATTAGACTTGGATTTTACACAAATTGGGAAATTATACCCCAACTTACGCAAATTTGACTTACGCGGTTATCGCTCGGTCCCACCTATCACGTAAGTTTGGGGTATTATTGTACTTTTCTGCTGAATGCCATTTACAGAAGCACTACTTTAGAACCAGTGAAATGTGTTGATGTCATGTTTAGTAACAGATTTAATTTGTTACCTTTTGGTAGCTATAACTGATTAAAGATGGCTTCAACCATGTAGCATGTAAAGAATATATTATTTACATGTATGAAAACATGCATTACAGTATTAATGCATTAAAAATCAGATATTATCATATGTCACTCACAAAGTGGTGCTACCATATAAGATGCTGCATTGAACTTAACCAGCATCCTATTTTTTATTATTATTTCAAATGATTGTGGCTATCTTCAGGACCTCAGGAAAATGGAATGCTAGACTAATAGAACATTTGTAATTAATGTATAAGAAATGTTCTGTAATCCCAACATTCCATGTTCCTGAAGTCCTGAAGATGGCCACGAACAATGAATGAAAATAATAATAAAGAACTAATAATAATGAACTAATAAAAAAGTATGCTTGGTTAAGATTCAATTCAGTACCCAATTATCATAATCTAAAAACAGATATATGTAAAATAAACCCTTAAAGATGAAATTAATTTACTTTGTCAAATGTTTTTAAGTTTGTGAAAATGAGCAGAAACTAACTGTAGCATCATTATCCTCTTGCATTAACTCATAATTCAATGTTCAGCAGGTTTATTGCCATTGTTTGCTTATTAAAGCTATTGAGTCTATTGAACACTGCCGATGATAAGTTTAAATGATATAAGAAATTATAGGTAATAAATTCTATAACCAATAAATTCAATTTAATTTTTAACAGAAATTGATGAACTAATTGAACTATACTAGATCAAACAACCAACCATTTTTCCTAACAGCCTAATATATACAAGCTTGGACTATTCTTCTGTTATAATTAAGCTAATTATTAAATAATCTAGTTAAATAATTTGGTTTAACAGATTTATAGTCTGATAAAAATAATTCAACTTGTAGACATTTGTCTATAGGCCAGTTCTATCAAAGATTATAAAAATAATAGTTTTAGCTTAGAGATGAAAATTATCTCTGTAATTAATTGTAATAGCTGTTAATTATTGTTATAATATTTAAAAATTTCTGTTTGCATTTAGTTGAATAATTATTCTTATTTTTTATAATATTTATTCTACAGCCTAATACACTACTGGCAATTTGCCAATAACTTAATAATTCCATTTACATTATTTTTGATTAAACTTTTCCTTGGCTGAAATTTTTTACAGTATCGTGCATCAATCATCATTTATACTTGTGCTAACCAAAAATGCCGAGTTAATCTAAGATAAATGACAAGAAAACAAACTTCAGTAGAGATCCTAGAATTTATAACACTTTATAAAATATTTTTGAACTTTTATCAAAGAATATTAAATATAAAATCCTTTTAAGCCTAGTTTTAAATATACAAATTAATTACGTTTTACATAAAATCCATTAACATGTCAATTATCCTTAATGAAATTTTATAATCTTTTAAATTCAAAGTGAGCATGTCAAAATTTCTAAAATAAAAAAATTGCTGCTAGTCATTTCACTACTTAATAATGAAATTTTATAATCTTTTAAATTCAAAATGAGCATGTCAAAATTTCTAAAATAAAAAAATTGCTGCTAGTCATTTCACTACTTAAAGATATAATTTTATCATATTAGTAGTACTCAAGTCTGTCAAATCATTATAACAATGTATGAAATCAATAATTTCTTCAAACTTGGTGATTTTTTATTAACAGTATTTTCTTTTATTCTTTATTAAACATGTTTTGTAAAGTTCCTTCTTCAAAATTTTCAAATGCATTTATTATCTTTTAATCTCTGTCTAAATCCCATTATTATTCTTAGATAAGTATCAGATAAAATTTTCAGATTTTTTAAAAATAGTTTTGTTTTATGAAAATGATATCAAATTTACCAAACATTTACTAGACAAGTACAAGGAAGTGTTTATATCACATAAATTAGTGACTTAGTTAACATACTATCAAAATACCAAATTAATATAAATTATAAAAAAATAAGCAGCTTTAACAGTAAGTGAATAAAGACAACTGAAAATGTTTGTTTAGGATAACTGGTATTTTATTCAGTATTTTGAGTATTTTTTCATAAATTAATAAATGAATGTTTACAAGCTATCCTGTTTCCTGAAGAAAGAACAAAAATCTTTTAGTTTTTATTCTAACTAATCAAAAAATTTAAATTACATTTGAATTCTCATTTTGAATCTTATCTAAATATGACTGTACCTCATTGGGTTCATTTATGCTCTAGATCAGTGGTACCCACACTTTTTGATTGCTGGACCAAACTATACTTAAGCTGTAGATGGGCAGGCCATTGAATATTTTGCATATTTCGTACATACTAAAAGTAGGCTTATTTCTATTATTTATAAGTGATGTGTCAAATATGTTCATGGGCCAAATTTGATTTGGGGACATAGTTTGGACACCATTGTTCTAGATCATAATCTAAATTATGATCTAGAAAACAGACAATTTATATTACTAAAAATATTATAATAATAGCTTAGTTGTTAGCTTTATCAAGATATACAAAATGCTAAAAACTATGCAGAATTGTTTAGATATCATTTGTTATTACACAAGAGTCTATGAGTAGATATGAGATTTCATATTGTCTAATTTGAAACAGTTATTAAATGGTCTTAGGAATTACAGTATTTATATAATAAAACAACATTCTAGATATTTTTTGTAAATATTCTTAATAGTTATAAACCTTTTAAATACATTGTTAAGTGTGTTCTGGTGTAAATATTTTAGACAGGCCTTCCTGATGATCTATTTTAATGTTTTAATAAATATAATAAATCTAGAAAATTATTTATAGCTAATGTTTAATTGCAATTAAATGATTTTTTTATGATTTATTCTCTAATGATGAAAAGAAAAATCTCAAAATTAAATATTATATAGTATAAATTATTCAAATTCAAGTACCTTTCATCATGTGTAAAGGTAGTGATATCAGTTGTGTAAACTTGGAAGTAAATAACAGCTGTTTTATCAGAAATGAATTGAAAAAGATTTATGAAACATTGTATAGTAAAAAGAAACTATAAATAAAGTTTATTTTGACTTTTTAAATAATTTATTTTATTTAATCATAAAATTAGTTTAAATAATTAATTTAGCACGTTAAAAAATACTAAATTATCCCAAATTTACATTATGCTTGCATTTTATGTTGTTGATTTTTATTTTACTTACTTTTACATTTTTAATTATTTTTGCTTTTTACTTAAATGTATTATACAAATAATCATATTATTAGTAATAAATTTTCAAATAATGTAAACATATATCAATCAAGAGCATAGCATAAATATTTTTAATGAAAAAAAAATTTACACTAAACACAATTTTAGATATAGATATATATTTTAAATAAAAATAATTAATTGTTAAAAATTGCTATTACTTTTATATATCTATATTTAAAGGATAAACCACTATCTTAAACAGTGATGTAATTTCAAACTTGAATGCTTTTGACCTAGTTCATAGACCATCATCAGTTCTTTGATAATCAATTCTAGAATATTTCACTGTTTAAAAATTTGGAATAAATGGAAAAAAGAACATTCACCAATTAATAAGATGTTATAGATCATGACATCACAACTATTAATAGAAACATAAAAAACAGTAACATCAATATACTAACAATACAATCACATTAACAATATAATTTGTACACAAGAAAGGCTATGGATGTTTGACTATTGCATATTCCATGCTGATGCTAGACATTCTGTCTTTAGCATTTCGGAACACTCCATAAATTTTTGTCAATATATTGGAATTGATTCGTTCAGTCATAAATGCATAGAAAGGCATTCTTCAATATCCTTGCATCATCCCAAAGGCTGCTTGTGTTTTCCACATTAGCAAAATCTTATTAACGATGTATTATTCCTATTTTTATTAGCATTGTATTTGTGTTTAACCCTCTATGCAAAATTTCTACTCCTGTATCAGATATATGCCCTCTTCCGTTCATTTCTATCCATTTATGCTGGAATTATGTAAATATAGTATAGTGCTGAAAACTTGACTCTCAATAACTTGACATTCCATAAAATTCATTTTGTTGTCCAAAAAAAAAAAAAAAGTAAGTAATCTACTTTTCACTTCTATAACCTAACACTAGGATCAAATAATTTATCATTCTTCACTGGCAATACTTAATAATAGCATCAATTCTAAAGTTAACTAAGAATATAATCCTTTTTCCAAAGTGCCATTGTAAAATGCCATAACATAAATGTCACTAACTCAAATTTAGCCATTGAATAGACAAAATTTTTTAAAATTAAAATCCAAAAGTAGAAATACACACTATTGTTACATAGTTATATATATGAATTTGCACATATAATACCTTCATGAAAATTCCACTATTCAGAATAGCATTGTCACTATACCATAAAACTTGTCATTTTCAGTAATTCGTCATCTTCTTAGTAGGGATTAAGTCAAGTTTGTGGAACTCTACTGTATTTGTTTTTCAATTCTCTGGCATCTGTCCTTCTTTTTTAATAGGTCATACAATGTGGGTTATGTTTGTTTATGATTCTAGTGTCATATAGTTCTGCTAATTGTTCTATGTATTGATTCTAATGACATAGAGAATATGAATTTTGCGTATTTTTTTACAGATGGTGTTGTTTGTTGAAAAGAAATGCCTGGATGAGACTTATTGACCATTTTAACTTTATAACCTAGTGCTATCTTCCTTATCATGTTGAGTTCTCTTAATTAACACGTTAACACTCTAAATGTTGCTATTTTGTATCAAAGTGAATCATCAAACAAGCCAGTATGTACAATGGATGAGATGATGACTTGACTTATACATCAGTATATATTTGTCCATGTTTTAATGTCAATAAAATGGTCAAAATGTACTGATTTGAAGATTTTTTATTCTACTTTAAGACAGACATAGTCAATATGAGTTGTTGATAAAATCTACAAATCTACTGATGTAATTATCATTACTCCATAGTATATTGTCTGTGTACTTTTATGTAATATAAACTTATTTACAAAGTTGGTAAGATATTATTTTCCAATTTTTTTACTACAAATTCATATAGGATTCCTAATACTGGACTTTCCATGGATACCACTCTGTTCTATTTGTAAAAATATCATTCAATGCAGAATATGGCATAGAAAATTTGTCATTTCTGTGGTCTTTATGAAAGGAATGTAGCAGGATCTGTGCTTTAATGCTCTCAGATACTTTTTAAGTAATAACAATGATATAATGAATAAATAAAATCAAACTTTTGAGATCTTTTATGTTTTAAAAATGACATAAAATATATTACAATAAATTTCAGTAATTTTCAATAAGCATTCTTAAGTACAGAAACTCAATAATTAAAATTAAATACATTTACATCTTAAAATATAATCATAACTGAAAATACTAACCACTACAAGACCAGAAATCTTCATTTCATATAATAGAAGAGCAATCAAAGTAAATACAAGCATTAATGGACCATACAATTCTTCAGGAAGAACCTATTAAAATTTCAACATTTTTAAAATTTAAGTTATTATCTATATGTAAACATTAAATTGTATACTTTTATTATTATTATTGTTATTATTATTATAATAATTACCATTGAAGTAAAATGAGAAGGAAGTTTTGGAACAAATGATTGTAAAATCCTGAAAATAAAAATAATCTTAAAAAATAATTTATTATTATTCGTTATATTATTTTATTATTAATACAGCAATGTTCCCAAAATAAATTTCTTTTATTGTATTTAAATTTTTTAGGTAATGCTTACTATTATGTTTGTACTGAACCATCATATAGCAGGAGTACATAAAATACTTGTAAAAAATATAAGTATTAGTTAGCCTCAATATTTTTTACAATTTTGTATTTGCCAATAAATATCTTTTTATTCAATACTGTTATTTTGTTTTATTCAAAAACTGTGGAATCAAATAAAGTTAATCAAACTGATCTCATATCAAGAAATACATGACATATGTAAAGAAAAAATAGAGAATATCAAATTTTATAGTTTTTAACTACAGTACAGAAATTTTAACTTTCAAGTGAAAAAAGATTAATAATATTAATTATATAAATATTATGCAATAAACTAAAACTGTTTTATAAACTTTTTTATATATATATTTTATATAGAATCATTGGAAGGGAGTAAATTTTGTAACAGTTACAAAAGCACAAATTTTAAGATATCTGTGATTTAATCAAAACAATAAAATTAATAATTAGAAACATTAACTTTTCTACTTAAAATTTATAAACATTTTTAAATTAAGATCTATATGATTTTAATTAAACAATGTTTTATAATTATTTTTCTCTACAGAGTATTATATATTATTTCCTTGTGCAACAAAATGATGTTGATTATGTACCATATTTTCTTGATTTTAAGACACACCATGATTTTGAAATTTTTACTTTAGTTATTGCTTCTTTTAACATTCTATTTATTTTTGTTTTACAATCTCATATTGTAATACTGACAAAAAATGAAAATGGTTACAATTATTAGTATTTATATCTACAATCAAGTTTCAATGTTTCTTCTATAATTTCCAAGAAATCAATCATAAGAGGAAAACTGCACTTTCATTACTTTTCTAAATCATTTGAATTTTTAATTTTCTTGAAAATATTTTAAGTTTATGTAAATTTTTAAAACGTTTTCTATATTTATAAATTACCTTTGGACAATTTCTTGTGGTTCAGCAGTAAAATATGGTCTCAAGATATCAATATTGGCATATAAATTAAAAGCCTTTTCTGCATGTTGTTTTCCAGCTTGCCACATCTAGAAAAAATGTGAATAATTCAATTTTTGAATAATAATTATTTATTATGTAATTAATATCAAAGTTTGATATTAATTATATAATAAAGTAAATTACACAATTTACTTTATTATATAGGGTGGTGATCTGTTTTTAGTGTTGTATATCATATTTATGTTCCGCCAGCCATTTTTTAAGGGATCTATTGGTTGAACCAATGTACACTATATCCCTATGAAATCTGTCATCACTAACAGGTATACTATACACCCCCGGTGCATGGTAGGTGTTAATGGCTTCCTTGCCATTTCTTAATAACTTATATACTGATGGGTTATGCATATATGTTATTGAACAATCTCTACGAGTAGCAATATCTTGGTATAAAGCCCTTAATCCCTGGTTCAATTAGTATATGCTTAAGATATTATTGCCCTAGCAAAATACACTTCTGACACAGACAAAGAAGCTAAACTACAGCAAACCAGTCTTGTTAGACACTGCCTTTGCATGGATCAAATCAAAATTTTAGAGGTTCTAGAAATTTTAAAGCCGAATTAAAAGGGGAATGCATCAATTTTGAGGAGGAGGTGAATATCTCATATGCCTGGCAATCCTTTTTCGATGATCCCGGCATCACTAAAAAATAGGAAATCAATTAATTCACCTATGATTTAAAAATGTATTTATTAATTTTTGTGTTAATTTTTATTTTAGTTTTAACGTTAATGTTAATACCTAGGTGTGATTTTTGCTGTATACTGATTATAAGGCTTTCAGTTTTGACAATTTTAAAATATTTAAATTTGAACGTCCTGCATTCTAATTCTTTCGAACATTAATGACCTGAAGCAGATTCTAATTGAATCAAAAATATTTGTTACAACATATTTATTTTAAATATATTTTTGTGCTGGCATTTTTGAAGGTTTTGTGGAGTTATTTAATTGTTTATAACCAGCTTTGTGATGATTCAGAATATAAAAATAATATAGATGAATTAGAAATAAAAAACAAAGATTTATCATAAGTTAAAGTTTTATATTATATTATATATTATATCAATAAAATTTCTGAAACAAATTGAAAACAAGATAAAAACATTCTAAAATAAATCACATAAAGTGTCATTTACAAATTAAATACTTTTCTTTAAGTAAAATCTAAAAAATACTATTTATTATTAAAACTGTATGATTAAAAAACAGGTTATAATATCAATAATAGTTTTATGGTAAGCTCTATCAATAAAGAAAAAGATTTTAATCTGAAAATAATTACAAGTGTGGATACAGCTGGCCCAAATTTAAAACCACCAACATCTTCTTTCTCATCCTGCTTTCTCAAATTATCTTCAGTTGATTCTAAAAAAATTTAACAAAATCAAACATTAAATATTTTTCAATATTAATATAGGTTTAAATCATATTTATAGAATTTTAATTCTATAAATTCAGCTTATCTTATAAGAATTCAAAATATAATTTACAGATTAATTATGAGCTATTATCAATCTATCAGTTCTAGAACAAATACTTTTTAGATTGAATGTTTGTCAATCTGAAATGGACTGAAACAGCTTCAAAAACATTAATCTGAAATTGGATTTTTTCTTAAATGGTAAATTGAATTTCTGTTGAACTAAAATAAGAATTTAAGGAGTCTAAATTTACAGGAAAAAATAATGATAACTGTTAAATTATAAACAAACAATTCTAAATTTGAAATTGTTGCTAGGAATATTACAGGGAATCTTTCTAATTAAATTATTATATAGATTAGTATTTCCATAAAATTTGAATTTTGATGCTGTATAACTTGCAACAGAATTTATCTCATTACCTATAAAATTTTAATATATAATTTATGGAAATAAGTAACACATTTCTTAACATATAATAGTTAAAAATTTTGAATAATAGTTTGGCAAAAAGCTTGCAAAATTGATATGATAGATATTCACAAATTTTTCTGACAAATAATTGCATCACATTTGTAGCAGATATTCAAGAAAAATCAATGTTAACTAGAAAAATCTACATGCAATAAATAAGTTATCTACCAATAAAGGATGTCATGTCTTATGTAGGCACGATGTAAATTAATGACTGAAACACTCATCTAAATTATGCAAAAATATTTCATTATACAACTTTTGACTCATTTATATTTCAATGTAATAAAGATTTCTCTAATTTTTCTCTAAAACCAAATTTTTATTATAAGGTATTTATAACATTTAACTTATCAGAAAAAAAGTAACAATTTTCCACTAACTAAATTTAAAACATAAATATAAAGTGCATGTTAAAATAATTACGTTTAAATATAATTGCTCTCTTCAATATATTGTTTAAAGCATATTCAAGTAACTGTAGAATATAAATATAGACAGTAGAACTTGGTTAAAAATACCAATTTAAAAACTTCTTAAGCAGAAATGAAAATAATATACCTTTCTTTCAATAATCCATATTAATTCAATAATACTCTACTACAGTGTTTCCCAACCTTTTTTGTGCTATGCCCCACTAAGACTTTCTAAAATTCTTATGCCCCCTAACATATACAGTGGCTATATGGTTAACTTAAACTCTGGACGAGTCCATTTTCAAATTGCCCCACAGAAAACACTGCTCTACTACATTATAGTGAATTGGTCTTGTATATTAGTGTTGCAACGAATAGTATATTCGTTGCATTATACATTGTATATTGCACTGTATATATTGTATACATTGCATTATGAATAGTACATTCGTTGCATTCGAATATTCGGCCAAACTATTTGGCTTGATTAACGCACATATGAAAATTGGCGCGCAAACTGCATTATGGCAAGGACCCTGCTCTCTATTAGCCCACTGTCACTACGCTTCGCCAATCATGTTAATTCTCGACAGTTCAGACAAGAGCGTCATGGCAGTTATGATAAGTGATATCAAATCTGGATAACAATGAAATGACCTACAGAGAACAGAGAAGGACCGCAAACTGAAAATGTAAAAATAAATATGAAATTGAGTTGATAACATAATCGAACAAGTCGATTATGTTATCAATACAATAAGCTGCTTCGAACAAGTTGAGGCAGCTTATTTGCACAAAATTCGCTGCTGTGAATGCCAAACAATTGTTGTCATAGACTTCGAAAAGCTAAATGCTTGTAATGAAAGTCACTTAGCATGCACGGGTGAAAGCCTGGGGTCGTTCGGGCTACCAAGCTGTTTCGAATCTGTGAAATCATAACTGTGACTTATACTGACAGCCTATCTGTCTCTTTTCTCCATTACCACCAGGTTATGAGTCACGTAATTGTAAAATGAGAAATCTACGACGGAAAAGTGACGAATCGAAAGTATCGTGAGGGTGGATTATGATGTATGCATAGGCATACGTGGACTAGAGCGATAGAGGAAAGAGAAAGGGAAGAGCAAAGACGAGTGCTTAAAAAGGATAGGCAGGGTCAGACCCTCAGATGTGCGACGATTCTCGAACGAATAAGTGTGTACGTGTGCTGATCTTTGTAATTATAAATTGTGAATACAAGTGACTAATATTATGTTTTTTTCTTTTTTTTTATTTTGTGCATGTTATAAGTTATAAATAAATATAAACAAACAACACTAACCCGATAACATTAAATCTAAATACCAAAATGATTAATTTACTGTGTTTTTGTTATTTCTTACTCCTGTTTTTAGGTAGTCTGTATTCAGCCGAATAGCGAAAAATAGGCCGAATACCAAATAGTAACCGAATAATCGTTAATCACTATTGTATATCTATTTACTTTCATATTTGTCCAATGTAACTTGTTTCTATCCTCACTTCCTCAGCAGTTTACTTACAATTAAATTAAATTAAACACCAGAACACTTGCTGAGCTTACTGTACTTTAATATCCAAACACTTTCAGCCTATACGAATAGGTTGAAAGCATTTGGATATTAAAGTACAGTAAGCTCAGCAAGTGTTCTGGTGTTTAACTTAATTTAATTGTAACCTGTTTCATTCATTTTTTTACATAAAAACAAAAAATACATTTTATGCTTCTCACAAACAAAATCACAGATCTACAAATATTGCACTAAAATTTATTTATGATTTCCATTATTACCCATGAACTGAGTGCACTTTTCAGAACTTGCTGTTGCAAGCGCTGTTGCCAGATAACAAGTAAGAAAATTGTAAAATCCTTGTTCAAAGTAACTCAAAGTTGCACATAAAATAACTCAAAATTTTTTGTCCTAATATGATTGTTTTCTTCTTCCAAATGCAATTAAATGTATAAAATTTTTGGCAGGTTGCAGTTAAAATTTTTTTTAAGCAAGACCATTTTCTGGGTGTGAATATAGATTACAGTCTACTTAGGTGAGAACTTTCTTAAACAGGAACATTTTAAGTGGGAAAATTTTACATCTCTCTCAAGAACTATGCATTCCAGTATTCTTTCTGACATTCTTATTTTGCATGGACCCAATGTGGCAATAAGATATCTTATTTACTTAAATAATCCATGAAGTTCATTCAGAAGCAGAAAGTAAGTGCTGTATCAAAATAAATATTTTTTTTTTTAAATATGTAATGCTACCAGTTAAGCAGCAGACAAACTTCAATATATAATCCACAATGCACTTAGATAGACAGTATTTTAATAAAAATATCATTATCGTTATTACTTTTGCTATAAAACAAAGTTAATTATCTTGGTGTTTTGTTAACAATGATACAACATTCTGTGGCATGTTTATATGATATTAAAGGATAAAAAATATTTAGAAAAACGACAATACTTATTTAATTCAAGATGAGTATAAAGTAATATATTAAAAGTATTATTACATTTTTTTGAATAATATATGAACTTATTAATCCATTAAAAATATAGAAAAGTGCCATGTGATGTAGCAAAGCTCCATATCTAGATAATGAGTCTGTACAGTTTGGTACTACCATGTTTGTGACTATGATTACCACAAGTCTGACTGTAAACATTACTTGTGCTAAGTCCATAAGATGGTATTAAGTTTTGAAAATTTGTAAGGAAATACAGTAAGCCTTCCTTATTATAATCATTTTGAAACTTAAATTAACAACATTAAGCAGGATAAGTATATAAGACTACAGTTAGAGGAAATTTTAGTTTCATTGATTCTAATATTAAAAATGTATAACTTCAAGATTTATTGAGCAGAATGTAAGCAGAACTCTTCATAAGTTGGAAAGTGTTTTGTCTGTGATCGAAGTGTAAAACAACTGCACAACCACTAAAAATGAGTTTTTGCAAATATGTATTGTACAACTCGGCATAGCCGACTGCCAGCTGTAAGCTGGTCCAATGTTAGATATCAAACAAGTTTCTGATTCTTTCAATTTATGTTGTTCTCTACAACAACTTTTAAATTTAGATTTAGATTGGTTTTAAAACCCATAGTTCTAGTTTTCTATGCCATAAAGCTCAGTTTTGTTTTCCTAGAAAATACCTAGTTAATTATAATTATTATTAATTAGTATATAATTCATCCAATATTGCTTTTGCTACTAACTTTGATAATAAATAGCCTAATGCCAGCAATTTACGTTATTGTACTGCAAGCAAATAACAATTAAAACAATTAATATTTAATGTTTAAAGCATCACTTTCATTTTTGTCTTTTTCCAATGTACTAAAATGATCTTCTTTCTAGACCCATTATGAGTTCAGCCAAACTCGGAATGGGAACATCTCTCATCAGAGATGGTGAGAGATGGGGTATGACATATCCACAACAAACTGCCCACTCCTGGAATTTTCTACCCAAATTTGATCCCATGTCCCCAGAACAGCAGGTCGACACCCTTATCACCTTGGCCACTGCACCAGCCGAAGCATCACTTAAGACCGATAACGACCACTTATCAAATTATCAGCCACATGCCGAGGCCGAAGACAGAAAAAGAACTTAAGAGGGTTGCTCGTAGAGGTATGGTTCCTTTGACTTTTTAGTTTGTACGAGTATGCTCTATAGCTCTGTTAAGGTCCCAAACATATCACTCAGAGCTTGAACTGAGCCCCTAAATTTATCATTTCCATTACACCATTGATACACATTACTCTTGATGACAATTACTGCCCATTGACAGGCATATTATGAAAATAATATATCCAAACATATAGTAAACAGTAGCTGCAACAAAATTTGCCTTTAGCGAATATATTAAGACATTTTTAAAAATAAATATATCTACTTCATATTTAAAATTAATTATATTTTAATCATAAATTTAAATTTGAAAAGATTTAATTACCAGTGTAAACATTTTCAGGAATGTCAATTATTTCGGCTCCCTTAAAACCAAAATAGATATAATTAACGTCTTGTTTCAAATATATAATAATAATATATCATTATGTTTATCTTATACAATATTATAAAATATAACCAATAATAATTACAAATCTTACCGAATTCGGACCGATTTGTCCTCTATAAGTCGCCATTTTGGATTACATTTGTTTACGGTTGCCAGATGATCGTTGATAGTGTTGCCACAAAAGAATAGAAGAAGAATAAACTACTCAAACAATAAAATAATTACTTTTAATATTTTTAATTGAATTTATATCCAGAAATGCCTAGAATTCCTAGATTTATACATATGAATAGAGAAAACAAGTTCATGTAGAACTTGTTTTCTATACTCCGAAGAATGAACCGATGTGTTTAACACTGCATTTTTCAGAAAGCGGAGCATTTCTTTCAATTTAAAAACAGAAAGAATAGTTGTGCCAAGCACGTGCATTCTGAAGCTTTGTTTTTTATCTCCGAAGATGTACACTTTTAGACATCTTTCCGAGTAATTTATTCTCGAAATCTCTGTATTTGTCTTATACCGATGGAATTGTTACCGGTAGTCATTTCAATTCTAATTCAATAAAATTCTAAAACAGTGATTCTAAACCGAGAGCCACTTGGCTTCCAGAGAAGGAGTTTCAAATCTAAAGGGAGCATTTTGATCATGGAAAGAACAGAATAATATCGTTATGCACATTGAGTTCTATATACACTGGTGTGACTGCTAATTGGTTTGCTAGGCAAGGTTACAGAAATGAAGTCGGGTAGTGAGATTAGTTTTAACTAGTGCTCGTGGCAAGACTAGTATTTGGTGTATAAAGTTATACAGTTCGTTTCATATATCTTGGCCAAACAATACACGGTACTCGGTTATGATTCTGGGAATTTTATAAAGTTCAAGAGAATTTTTGGTAAAATTGTTGTTTTTTGCACAGCAGTTAACTGTATGAATAGATAGGAAGAAAGATCGTCCAGAAATTCATATTTAAACATTAATTATTTATATGTTGTATGGACGAAAGGGATGATTTGATAATAAACGTTAAACAATAAAAATATTATTTCACAATTACATATATGATATTACTTGATACAAATGAAAACTAACCTTCTAAGAATCATATACTGTTGTTATAGTCTATTGTTTAGGAAATAATAAGAAAAAGTGTAGCTTACAGACATGTTCAGTACAAGCCATTCAGCCCTACACTAGAATGGCTTCTAAGCGCCTACTTTGCGACTATATGTGTCTAATGTGAGGCCCCGGAAATAGCCCTACGAAAAAAGAAAGATATATAAAAATTTGTTAAATTAAATCGTCAAGAAAACAAATTATATGTGTCGAACCGGCGACACCGGACTTTGACGTCGACGCTCATTAAGAGTAGACGGAAAAACAAAATTTAAAATATTAAAGTTAAGACGCAGTTTAGAAAGCAAAACAAAACTAGAAAAAATATCAGAATGATCGTAGGTGTCATAGTCGACGATTAAACGTGATCAGAGTCTACAAGATAGTGTCGGATAAACCATCTCCAGCCGACCTTTTCCGCGAACTATANTAGGCGTGACGAATAATGACTACAAGTAGGCCTATATATAAAAATTAGAAATGGGGAATACTCGAGTACTAGGAAGTATTGTATTCCAGATGCTTGATCTCAAATATTGCGTTGATAAAAAAATAAATTCAAATATTACAAATACACCTCTAATATGATGTCATACGTACAGTGACAGATCTAGACGTATCGAAAGGGGACTAACTCAAAAATAAAAAATATTTGAATTAATTAATAACACTATCTTTTATTAACATGTTTAGGACAATTGTTAAGGCTGTTATACACGTTACGGAAATCCTTTGAGGATTAACCGTGATTTTTTTTTCTATCTATCCACCTTTAAATAAAAATAATTCTTTATACGTTGGGAAATATTTTAATAAGTTTTGTAAATTACTATGTTCGATCCAGCCAGTTATATCCGATTTTTTTTCGTCTGTTAAGTACATCCTTTGAGAATTTCCGTAACGTGTATAACAGCCTTTAATGTATTGTAACTGAGATAACCAGTATCTAAAAAAGTCCGCTTTAAAACTCAGTCAAAATTAAAAGTTTGAAGTTTCAATTTTTAAAATTATATACTGTATATAGAAATAGTGATATAAATTGACTTAAAAGGGTTTTCTATCCTCACGAAACGAATACAGTATCTCCCTTAGTCAATAGTTCCTGGATGAAATCTTTACAGCGTGTGTATTATCTCCAATACTTTCATAGCGAATAATTTTCTGATCATTGTTGACCAATACAGGTATTTCTTCCTAAAATTCTGATACTGTAATTTGCTCTACAATTTATTATTGCTTTAGGATCATTGTGACNTACCGAATTCGGACCGATTTGTCCTCTATAAGTCGCCATTTTGGATTACATTTGTTTACGGTTGCCAGATGATCGTTGATAGTGTTGCCACAAAAGAATAGAAGAAGAATAAACTACTCAAACAATAAAATAATTACTTTTAATATTTTTAATTGAATTTATATCCAGAAATGCCTAGAATTCCTAGATTTATACATATGAATAGAGAAAACAAGTTCATGTAGAACTTGTTTTCTATACTCCGAAGAATGAACCGATGTGTTTAACACTGCATTTTTCAGAAAGCGGAGCATTTCTTTCAATTTAAAAACAGAAAGAATAGTTGTGCCAAGCACGTGCATTCTGAAGCTTTTTTATCTCCGAAGTTGTACACTTTTAGGCATCTTTTCGAGTAATTTATTCTCGAAATCTCTGTATTTGTCTTATACCGATGGAATTGTTACCGGTAGTCATTTCAATTCTAATTCAATAAAATTCTAAAACAGTGATTCTAAACCGAGAGCCACTTGGCTTCCAGAGAAGGAGTTTCAAATCTAAAGGGAGCATTTTGATCATGGAAAGAACAGAATAATATCGTTATGCACATTGAGTTCTATATACACTGGTGTGACTGCTAATTGGTTTGCTAGGCAAGGTTACAGAAATGAAGTCGGGTAGTGAGATTAGTTTTAACTAGTGCTCGTGGCAAGACTAGTATTTGGTGTATAAAGTTATACAGTTCGTTTCATATATCTTGGCCAAACAATACACGGTACTCGGTTATGATTCTGGGAATTTTATAAAGTTCAAGAGAATTTTTGGTAAAATTGTTGTTTTTTGCACAGCAGTTAACTGTATGAATAGATAGGAAGAAAGATCGTCCAGAAATTCATATTTAAACATTAATTATTTATATGTTGTATGGACGAAAGGGATGATTTGATAATAAACGTTAAACAATAAAAATATTATTTCACAATTACATATATGATATTACTTGATACAAATGAAAACTAACCTTCTAAGAATCATATACTGTTGTTATAGTCTATTGTTTAGGAAATAATAAGAAAAAGTGTAGCTTACAGACATGTTCAGTACAAGCCATTCAGCCCTACACTAGAATGGCTTCTAAGCGCCTACTTTGCGACTATATGTGTCTAATGTGAGGCCCCGGAAATAGCCCTACGAAAAAAGAAAGATATATAAAAATTTGTTAAATTAAATCGTCAAGAAAACAAATTATATGTGTCGAACCGGCGACACCGGACTTTGACGTCGACGCTCATTAAGAGTAGACGGAAAAACAAAATTTAAAATATTAAAGTTAAGACGCAGTTTAGAAAGCAAAACAAAACTAGAAAAAATATCAGAATGATCGTAGGTGTCATAGTCGACGATTAAACGTGATCAGAGTCTACAAGATAGTGTCGGATAAACCATCTCCAGCCGACCTTTTCCGCGAACTATAGTGTCGGATAAACCATCTCCAGCCGACCTTTTCCGCGAACTATACGAAGCTCCATTTACACCTGGAGACAGGTGGAAGTCTCCCTGTGGTAGAAAGTGGTAGAAAGCAATGAGGTAAAGTTTGTCCAATTAGCAACAAGTCGATCTCGAAAAACTTATAAAAACACCGATTTCAAGGACCAAAGGGGGCTTCCACCTAGACTACTTATGTTCGTTTGCCTCCAGCTGCCGTGCTTCCTTTCATCTTTCGTGTGTTGTCTCTTCAGATCTCGAACTTTCCCTTACAACGCAGGACCAGATCAAATCCGAAAACAACTTCCGAATACATCCCAAAGTTCTGAATCTAAGGACCTTTGCCAAAAAAATATGTAAGCATTTTCGACAAGAATAAACGGTTTCTCTGTGAAACACTTGTCTTTTGTTGCCTCTTAAAACCGCCACCCACATACGCGTAGACCTGAGAGTTATCCCAACGGTAGGGAATAAATTCCCCCCAATCGGCTTTCTTACACTAATAATGTTGGCAAAAAAAAGTCGTCCGCAGCATTAATTGGCAGTATTTACGACAACGTAATGTGTTTATCGATAGTTGAATATATTTCATATTTAAATATATTTAATCTTATAATAATTATCATTAAAACAAACTTATTTTTAACTTGTAAAAAGTATTAATTTCAAAGTTTTCCAAAATATCATATTTTCATCTCGAAAGAAAACATCTATAAATTACCTAATTTACCTTGCATGTTTAAAGTAAATATACTGTATACGTAACTCACATTATATACAATACTGTACGTAAATTTTCCCATACAATTATATTATTAAGATATGTTGTATTTGCGCATATCGATGGCTTGGAATGAAAACCTCGTAAGCCATGAAATCACTTTATGGTTTATATATCAAGTTTACTCCTTAAATTTTTAGGTGAAAGAATGCGTATTTTGGATTTTAAATGATTAACGCTAAACATTTTTAAATTATTAAACGTTATAATTGTGATAAAAGTATTTTAATTGTCCAACCCGATAATTTTTTTTACCGTTTTCTCGCTTTCTCTGAAATATTGCAAATTTGGTGTTAGGTCTACAAGTTTTTTGCTTTAGATATTGATATATAAAATTTATTTTGTTATAATCCTTTTACGTTTATTTATTATTAATTCGAGTTAAGGAATCACTCAAGAAATTAAATTTACTAATAAATAAATAGATAAATTTCACAACATAAAATTTCTTCTTCAGAAGATTAGATAATGCTTATTCTTTTTATGGGAGGGAAGAAAGAACTTTTTATGGGTAAAAGGGAGATGATATCCAAATCTTTTATTTGAGGTACAATTTAAAACAAATATTGTAGACCTATAAATTCCAACTGTAGATGAAAGCCGAGACCAGATATAGAAAGATAGGGGCAGGAAGTCCCGATTAACTATATACGAACTTCTAAATGCAAACCGGAAGTCACGTTACTTCAATTCAAAAATTTTCTCCCGAAAGCAGTTAGATAGATGACCAGCACCACTCTATTGTTTAACTCTTTGGGTACACAGCAATTTTTAATATTAATGTAATTAAACATAAAAAATATTTAAAACTGAAAAAAAAACGAAAGAAATGCGTTAATTTTGAAGAGAAAGCTTCAAAGTTTAACTTCCATTGTCTCGCCTTTCTGTGAAATCTGACACTAATGAGTCATTGTGTTTACAACTGGATGACCTTGAGAACAGCTGGTGTTGGATTTCCCGAAACATTCTCATAGAAGTCTCAGGAGAAGGGTTTAAAGTAGGGTGAATACTAGCCGGCCGTATATTTTTAAATATTTTTCAAAAATTACGCTTTTTATTGCGATTTCCGACCCCCCGATTTAATTAAACGTATATATAATAAAATCTATCTATTAAAAAATTTAAAAAGTATTGGAGGTCGTTTTTGACATCAGAAATTAGCTTTAAATAACTTTACCGAAGTAAAATCCGTGAACTACAACTTTAAAACGATTAATTAAATTTGATAAAAAAAATCGCATTAAAAAACAATTAAGCGTTAATCGTACGTCATTAAAGGTAGATTAAAATCGCGATAAAATTTTTTCGCGCGGGAAAAAATTTGGAGACTTAAAAAACATTCCATAAAGCCAAAAAAAACAGAACTTTGAGGGGGACCAAACGCCCGAGTTTTATGTAACGCTATGTAACTTGCCCGAGATATCTCGGG